CTTGGGGTTGCAATCTCGGAAGTGCTGGTTCGTCCCGTTCATCTGGTGGCCCGCGGCGGAGTGCAAATCCGGCATGTAGTGGTTGTGCGGGTAGGGGTGATGGTTGAAATACTGGTTGTTGAGCTTCTGCAGCTGCATGCTGGCCGGCAGGGAGCCTCCCTGGCTGGCCACCGGGGGGCCCATGAACTGGGAGTTGTTAAACCTCGCCGCCGGGGCCAGCGCGCTCGGGGGGTGCCCCCCGTTCACAGTCCCCGGCCCCATCGCGTGCCTGATGCCGCTCGTGGCGTTCATGTTGCCCGCGCCGTAGTGTAGGTGCTCGCCCATCAGGGCGTTGAAGGCGTGCTGGGGCTGCTGCTGCTGCTGGTGGTGATGCGGGCTCGGGAACTGCCCCATGCCCAGGCGGTGGGCAGGGTGGTGGTGCAGCCCGTTGGTGCCGTCGGGGAAGCGCCCGTGGTTCATGGCCATCATGTGGTCTGCCATTTCCAGTCCTGCAAGGGAGACGCGCAGACGGTGAGAGCCGCGCCACACGTGTCGCCCACCACGGCACACCCCACTTTTTCTCCCCACTGGCCCCCGACATCCCCGGGCGCACGTCGGCTGCGAATCGCCACCCCCAGGGATCCCACTCGGAGCTTGTGCACCACGGAGGACCTGCCACCCACAGCACAGCCGGGTGCTGCACACACAGCCCCGGCCCCTGCGACCGGCCCCGGGCGGGAGGACCCGAGCCCGCACCCCCCCTGCGCTCCCCGAAGTCGCCTAATAAAGGAAGTGCCCTGCAGCCCTGCCGCGAACTTCGGGCATTCAATCAGCCCTCCGCGTCCTGTGGTTGCACATCCTGTTGTTATTCCCCGGCTCCGCCTCGCGCTCTTCCTCCGGGCAAACCCAGCCCTCGGAGCGCGCGGCGCTGGCAGGAGCCCGGCCCGCCGCGCCCGCCCGGCGCTTACCTTCCGTCCTAGCGATTTCTGCTCGAAAGACCGAGGGCGGGCGCGCGGGGTCCAGGGCGCTCAGCAGCACATAGAGGGGGCCTCCCTGGCGTGCGGGGCGCTCGCGGCCGCGTTGTCGGCGCCGGGGTCTCGCGGCGGCTGCAGGGGCAGAACCGGAGCCGTTCTCTTTTATTTTCCCTCCGCTGCCCGCACAGCTCGGCGAGACCGCCCGGCAACTGCCAACAATGAGCTGTGTTTCTTCGGGCTTTGGCCACAGTTAATATAGGGGATCTCAGGAAGGGCGGAGCTAGAGCCTGCCGGTCGGGCGGCAAGAAAACGCGGATTCTGGAGCTCCGGGCACGCTGGACCGGGTCTGGGAGCTACGTCCCCCGGGGCCAGCTGCACGTGCGCAGAGGCTGCAGCCGGCCGGGCGCTGCCCCGCTGCCCCCCGACTCTGGTGTCCTCCTGGCCCACGATTACGGGGCTGGCCCGGTTACCCCGGGGGCAAAGGAGAAAATCCTCCTTGGACTCCTAGCCCGCAGGTAGCGCCTTCCCGGAGAGGGGCGAGGAAAATCACCGTCCCCCCCTACGGCCGGATCCCCCATCCACGCCTCTTCCACCCGGCGAACCTAGCGACCTGGGCTGCCTGCTACGGGAAAACGGGGCTCGCTCAGCGCCCCCGCCCTCCATAGTGCCCTTCTGCCTGCCCGGTTTTGCAAAAGCTTTCCTGGACTGAGAAGAATGGCTGTGTTTTCCCGAGTCGGGGTTTAAAGCCCCGGACAAATAATGCCCCCTCCCCTGAGCGCGCTTTCCTGGGCTGTGCCTTTGTGTTTTTCTAGGGACAGTAGGTAAACTGCTCTAGATATTCTGCCTGTAGATGCATTTCCCCCCACTCCTTTCAAGGACAGGAGCTGGGGGGCGGGGGGAGGGGGGCGGCAGCGGCTGCAGGTGGACCGAGCGCGCTCCCGGGCCCGGCCGCCTCCACTGTCGCGGTTGGGAATCCGGTCCGCGTTTTCCGGCCCACCCGCCGCTCCCGGGGTACGTGTGCTTCAGCTAAGTTTGCTTTGCAGCTCTTGGTAGCTTTGGCATCCGAGCTGAGGCGTCTCTGCTCTGTAAACAAACTCAGCGATCCCCGTCCCCAGATCCACCTTTTTGCACACACACAGTTTCTTGCTTCTGCTGTTGCCCTTGATCCGGGAGGTGGGGGTGTGTGCAAACTTGCACAGCCTCCCTCCGGGCTCTGCCTGCCGGTTTGGGGTTGATTTAGAAGCGAACGGGTTTGTAATTAAGAAATTCGAGGGCTGAGCGAGGCTGCTGTTGCTGGAAAAGGAAAACAAATAGATAACGCGGTAATCGCTTGGTAAATAAAGTCGTTCTGGAGGTGGACACGTAGCTGCACGTCCCGTATGGCACGGTGCACACACTGCCCGGACTCTTCCTTCGCGGGGCAGTGGCTGTGGGGTAACCGAGCTCCCGGAGCGCGGCGCAGCGCCTCGGCCGTCGGCTGGGCTCTCGGGTCTGCGCGACAGCCCGACAGCCCCGTGGGACCTCGCTCTCGCGCTTTCTAACCGGGGGAGCCGAGTTGTTTCCCCAACAGCGCGGGAGGCTGCTCCGAGCGTTTACGCTGCTCTTTATGGGGTAAGAGCGAGCTCGGCGCTCCGAATAAGGACTTCTGCTCGGAGTTGTTTCTTCATAACTCCATGGCCATTGCAGGCTCCCTGCTGCCAAGAGCGAGTTCCCCNNCCCGCCCCCCCCACCCCGTTTTTCCCCCTTCTTGCCCACAAGACTTTTAGGCCCTGTGTCTTGAGAGCTGGAAATCCCGATACATACTTGCAAATGAGACCGAATACTGTTTATTTTCATCTATTACCCCTCCATCTTCTATATCATTCATATATATATATATACACACACACATATATATATATTTTTTACTGTGTTCCTCTTTTTCTTTTTCCAGGCTCTCCAGCATGTATTACAGTGTATGCAGTGATTTTTAAACTTCAAAAAATATTTACTTTTTGGAGACTTGTGCAGAGAGCACATTGCCCTGTTGGTTGCAACAACCCCTATTCTCCTCTCCGCCCACCGTCTTTACCTGTAGGTCATGGACTTGAAGTTACAGAATCAGAGTCTTGGAAGAGACCTGGAGGTGCCACTTCCTATAAAAAAAAAAAAATAGACTCCAAAATATTAGTCACCTCAGACTCAAAAATTGCCAGGTACATTGCTTGCTACCCCTTCCTCATACCGCAGTGTCGAAGGCCAGCTCTTGCAAGGCTTATCTAAATTACTCTTGCAGTCATTAAAGAAAGGTGCAGCTCCAGGGGTTCCGCATACTATTTGGGAAATGCCTTCAAAGGTCACCTCTTCAGCCCCCCCACCCCTTAAGGGGAAAAAAATTCATTCTGGGACCTGCTGGTTAGACCGTGGCACCACTTCGTTCATGTATTCATCCATCCAATGAATGTTTCCCAAGTGTCAGGCATTTTTCCTAGTGTGCGGAGAGACAACTAAGACAGGAACTCATGGTCTAAAGTAGGAGATGAATGAACAGACCTTGGGCAGGCTGTGACAAATGCCACTACGGCATTAAACACGAGGACTGCTAGGAACACGTGGGCAGGACACCTAACATGGTCCCCAGGGCCTTGGAAGGCTTCCCAATGACTAAGTTGAGGTCTGAGGATGAGTGGAAGGTAGGCCACCCCAGGAGGGAGCAGAGACGAGAGAAACAAGGTTGGAGGGGTAAACGGGCTGGATCTTGTGGGCTTCGGTCTTCAGTTGAGAAATGTGGATTATATCTTGAAGACAGTGAGAAGCAAGTGGAGTCCTGTGAACGAGTGAGATGATCAGATTTTTGTGTAGAGAGGTCAGGACGATGCTGTGGCGAACAGATTGAGAGAGGAAGCCTGGAAACAGGGAGCCCAGGTAGGGGGCCGTCATAGTCACCCAGGGGTTTATCCTGAGAACCTGGGTAAGACAGTGGTCTGTGTCTAACCTTCATACTGCTTGATGGTCGTGTTAGTTTCTGAAGGCTTTCATAACAAAATACCCATAAACTTTGCTTATGCCACTCAGAAATTTATTTTCTCACAGCTCTGGAGGCTAGAAGGCCAAGATCCAGGTGCTGGCAGGGTTGGTTCTGAAGGCTGTGAGTGGAAATCTGTTCTGCCTCTCCCCTAGCCGTGGTGCTTTGCTGGGCATCCTTGGTGTTCCGTGGCTTAAACATGCTTACCCCAACCTCTGCTTTGTCTTCACCTGGCGTTCTCCCCTGTGCGTGCGTATCTGTGTTCAAATTTCCTCTTTTTTTTTTTTTGTAAGGACACCAGTCATATTGGATTAGAGCCTGTGTTAATGACTTCATTTTAACTTGATTACCTCTATAAAGACCCTGTCTCCAAATAAGGTCACATTCTGATGTACTGGGGGTTAGGAGTCCAATAGGGTTTTTTTGGAGGGACACAGTGCACCCCATATCAGTTGTGGAGAAACTGCATATTCCAAGACCGCTGCCTTTATGGAAGGAAGATGCTTCCTGAAACTCTCTTTCTAGATTTCCCGCTGGCCCACCCTCTCCTTTCGTCATGTCTCTGCTCAGATGCCACCCTCGGTAGGCCTTCCTGACTCTCCTACTCACCTGGCAATATCCTTTGTTTTCTTACCCTGTTTTATTTTTCTCCTTTATCCCCACCTGACAGGCGGCATATTGAATTTTCATTGTCTTTGCCGGTAAAATGGCAGCTCCAGGAGAGCAGAGATCTTACTCATTCAGTGTCTAAAACAAGTCCTGGCATGTTAGTGTTTTACTGACTAGGCTAGTGAGTGAAAGAATGAATGGAATATAGCAGAGGTGTTAAGGGAAGCCAAATCAACAGCCTTTGGGGAGCCAGGGAAGATTTCCTGGAGACGGTTCCTTTCAAGGCTAAAGGAAGAAAAATCTGGTGGAAAAGGGGACCAGCGGCTTACCACCGTTTGCACTGGGGCCTGTTCTGCACTTGGGGAAAACTGTGATCCCTTTGGGAAGATGGCTCACGTGGGGGTCAGTCCTGTTGGCTGCTGAGTTATGAAGGAAAGTCCTCATTGGTGTCAACATTTGATTGAAACAGGGCTTTGAGAGGTGAGCGTCCAGCTTCAGCCAACTCCTGAGCTGAGGAAAGGTTGGCTGAAAGGCCCAGCTTCAAAAAATATGCGAAAGAGTTTATACATATGTGGTAGGGTGGGGTCTAATTCTGAGTTTTGTACTTTGCCTAAATGACCTCACCTAATTCTTACCCTAACAGGTTTGAGTTCATGGGAAAAAACAGTATATATAGGGTTGGGTACTATCCGCAATTTTAGGCATTTACCAGGGGCCTTGGAACACATCCCCTGTGGATGGAGGGGACTACAGCACTTTAGCAATAAACTAGACAACATTTACATTGGTTATGAAGTTGGATGAGGTATGCTGGAAGGTAGAAGAAAAATTCAGCGACCTCAACTAACTAGAGAAATGCTTCATCAAAAATAGGATTATATTAAATAGGAAAAACTTCAAAGGCCCCATGAGGACCATAACAAATTACATGGGCATTGGATGGGAAATTATTGGCTAGGTATAGCAAGTCCAGTCCCCCCCCCCAAAAAAAATTATGGGTCAAACTGAGCTGTTATTGGTTGAATGGGAGGCAGCAATGGAATGCTGTCATTAGAAAGGAAACAAATTGTAGTGTATTAGGAGTGAGAATATCACATGATAGAGCTGAAGTAATCCTTTTGCTACACTTGGCTCTTCTCAGAGATTGTGGTTGCTGTGTAACTTTACATTTTAATAAAGTGTTACAGAAACTAAAGAAGGTTCATTTCAGAAAAGGAAATATATTTTAAGGGGATGGGAAATGGGAATTATAATGGCTATTTAATCTGGAGAAGAAAAGGCTGACAGGTGACTTAATACATATGTTCTGGGGTACACATAGGGAAACTAATATGGTGGATCCTTTCCAGATGTTTTCCTTTCCCACTGAGACAAAGGAAAAAGGAAAGCGTTTGTAAAAAGAGAGCTTTGGATCAGTGGTTTTCAAATTGCATCCTGCAGACTTTCGAGTGTTTTCAGCTTCA